AGTGCTAGCATGAAAGTTTTCCTGGACTTTTGAACGTGTATGGAGCTACTGGGGGTGGAGGCCGGATTTCCTGATCGCTAACTCAGGAGCGCATGTTGGTTACGTACTGCAGTTCTGGTTCTATATTAGGCACGGTGGGTTTTAGTGTTTGCTGTGGGAGGGGTAAATAATTTTTTTTCCTTTTTAGGATTTAAATGTGGATGAATTTGAAGAAATATTTAAAACTAAAGCTCAAGGTCCAGCCATTGATCTTACTTCAAGCAAGCAAAAGATAACTCAGAAAGGGTCAAACAAAGTCACGTTACTGGATGCCAACAGGGCCAAAAATCTTGCCATTACTTTAAGAAAAGCTGGAAAGACAGCAGATGAAATATGCAAAGCTATTCACGTGTAAGTAAAACACTTGTCAGCAAAGAAAGCATGTTTTAAGATTTACTGTGATTTTTGGTAAGTGGAATGGTTTTGAATTGGCAGTTGATGTAAATGTTTTCGCATCTGGAAAAAATCCAGGAGTAAGGATGGAACCATTCTGAATTCCCAGAAATCAGATTCCCTTGAACTAAAATAAAAAACTTACAGTTTTATGTTGCTTAGGCTTAACAAATTAACACTGATTTTATTAAGAAGCTAATTCATGTATATCCACAGCATGCCATTGCATACTGCATCTCTCATTCTGTTTGCACAGTACTTTTGGTTGTAATGAACACTCAGAAGCCGGGGTATGAGGAAGAGGCAGCTATTTCAGTTTGGTCCATAAAGCACGAGTTTAGTCCAAGCGCACTGGAAGGATTTTGCATAGAATTAGGTTTATGTAGTGGCCCCAGGCAGTGCCAAACCCCAATGTGATGCAGGTGTGCCCGAGGTACGCGGCAGACCCCCGTCGCAGGAGTGCGGCGAGGGTCTCGGCTGCGCCCTGACCCGCGCTGATACGGACCCTTGCCTGCCGACTCCAGCAGCTCCCGGGGACGGGGCGCAGGTGTGTGTACCCGCTCCTTGGGGCTGATCCGGAATCCATCCAGAAGCACTTAGTACTCGTGGCCACGTCAAACATCAGCCATTTCTCCGTTAAGGAATACCTTCAAAATTTGGATGCAGAAGCATTACCTTTGGGCTGGTGAGGAGGGTGACCCAAACCGGCTGCAGAGTAAGACAGGTTC